CCAGATGCAATCATCAAAAGAGCCACACCTGGCTCGCAAGCCATAGGTTCCCGACCCCTGGTCTAGTGTGTTTGTAGTTGGTAGTGAGGTAGAATTTTACTGTGTCACATAGTAAATTCATAATATGATAAAATGTTGTTCGCATCGTTCAGATTGCAGCATGGACCAAACATTTTGGAATTTTAATTAATTCTAGTCTTTGGTTTAAAAAAAAAAAAAAAGATACATCTGCACTACTTGGACTATTGAACACTTTTGATCATTGATGGGCAAATTAAATGCTGGAGTAGCTTTGGATTTCAGGTCGATCTACAGCTCTACTTTCACTTATGGTCATGAGCTGTGTAGATTGTGACCGAAAGAACGAGACCCAAGCGACCGAAACGATTTTCCTCTGCAGGGTGTCTGTGCTCACCATTAGAAAGAGGCTGAGAGACTTGCTCATTCGTGAGGGACTCCGTGTCAACCTGTTGATCCTCCATGTCGAGAGGAGCCAGATGAGGTGGCTCAGGCATCTGGTTTGGATGGCTCCTTGACGCCTCCATGGTGAGGTGTTCCGGGCATGTCCCACAGGCAGGAGACCCTGGTGGATGACCCAGGACACACCGGAGAGAGTGTCTCCCAGTTGGCTTGGGAACGCCTCGGGATCCCCCGGGAAGAGCTGGAACAAGTGGCTGGCGAGAGGGAAGTCTGGGCTTCCCTGCTAAAGCTGCTTCCCTGGCGACCTGGCAGCGGATAATGGATGAATGATGACTAATCAAGGAGGCCCAGAGTGTGGTCGCCAGTTGCCCATGCCTGACATACAAATCTATTGAGATAAGTTGGGGTTGTCTCAGGCCATTCTTCTCTTCTCCGTACATGATCTTCGAACAGTAGTGGCCCACTTTACTACTTGCGCTTTAGTTGTATAGTTGGGGTGCATGTAGAAAGTAGCCAGTATGAAGTAGGACTAAGGTTTTGATTTGGACTCTGCCGACCAGTCGCGATGACCCTTGTTGATGACATCATTCTATATGCATCTCTCTGAAAATGGCTTCAAGCACATCTGACCGCAGAGCTGGAAGCAGTTTATAGTGGGTTTTTTTGTAAATTGTTCCGACTTGATAAACAAAAAAAAAAAAAATGATGTGAACTAGTCAAAAGCAGATGGTGCCGTTTTCAGCCACGTGTATTCAAAATGCTTAACCCTATAATGCCATTCGTATCATATTTGATACATGCAGTTTCATTATGTAACTCATTCTTTATAGTACATTAGATCATCTGTATCAAATTTGATACTGCAGGTTGAAAATATGATTTTCCCCATATTTTCAATTTTTGATGTAATCTACATAATGGTTATGAATGTGATACAACAAATATCTAAAACAAAATAATATGGCAAACTATTTTTGTGGCTTTTGTTATAAGGGTTAATTAATGAACATCTCAGTTCCCAAAAATCAGATTTTTCTGGCTATTCCTTGATGGGTCCGTTATTAAAGGGTTAAAACAATGCATCATTAAAGCAACAAGCTTTTACTCATATTTTCTGTGCGGAACACCCAAAAGAGAAAGACACTGGCACATATAGCAACCACGTGCTTGATAACATAGTTTGAGTGAATGAATCCACTTTGTGTTTTCCAGGTGACCAAAAAAAGTCTCGCACTGGTGACAAAATGTTTTAACCCACCAGAAATTCATCGAATTGTTGCATGACTGGTCTAGTCAGTCTTTTTCCCCATGTGCACGTCACAACAATGAGACTTGAAAGACTTGTTTCTTGAAGATGTCTCACTGATTTAAGTTTGTGAAGTCACGTGTTATCATTTAGTCGCCATGTGGTGTCACAAAGTGATGTGACAAAGGACTAGCCACAAGCATCTTTTATGTCTTGAAATGGCAAAATTGTGAGCATGTTGGTCCTTGTATAAACTGCAGCCCCCAATTCATTATTGTGTTGGTGTCTCAGTTTGTGTTGCTGGAATGAACACGATCACCAACAAAGTCATGTCTAGTAATGACTTGCTCGGTAACTTTTCTCCGTTGAAATCAATGCACATGAAACTAATGAACTTTCACTATTCGGCCATTGCCGAGAAGGATCATTACTACAACGAGTTCCACATTTCTTCAATGAAGAATATTAAGCTTCAGAGCCAGCTTCTGTTGCACAAAGCTGAAAGCAAGAAGAACAGTGAGATCATCGCGGAGCAAGCAGAAGAAATCGCTTATCTGAAGGAAAGCCTGCAAGTCCAGCAAGCAGAACTTCAGCAGAATAGGTTAAAAGTTAAGACGCAGCAAGATCAGGTGACCTCGCTAGAGCGAAGTCTCCATGAGCAGAGAGAAGTGCTCCGGCAGAGTGAGACGAAAGTCCAAGTGCAGAACTCTCAAATTTATACGCTTGAGCAAACTCTCGATGACCAGAAAGGAGAGTTTCAGCAAAATGACCGGATGTTCCAGAGGCAAGAGGCTCAAATCGCAGCGCTGCAGCAAAGCCTCCAGGACCGGATTGCCTTACTCGAGCAGAGTGAGCAGAAGGTGGAGGAGCTGGAGGAGAAGTTTCAGAGCTACGTGGAGTCCGCCGAGCACGACAAATGCGACCAGAAGGACAGAGAGGAGAAGCTGATGGAGAACCTCCAAGCATGTCATGCCAGGCTGCGATCGATGGAAAACGTTCACAAGAAGAAGAAAAGGGTCTGTTTCTGGTCTGGCTTTTGGAGTGAAAGAAGACAGGCTGAAAGGGCAGAAAAGCAAGAAAAAGAGTCAAGCAAAAAGAATGAAAACGAGAAGGCTGAGAAGAAAGAATTCAACATGAAACTCAAGTGCCTGGCCGAGCAGAAAACAGACGAAACCTCAGAGAAGAATGAAAGTCTAAAATGTGCACGCAAAGTGGCTTTTAACTGTTGAGTCAGCTGTTTGACATGTATGCGAGTTTGCCATAGACGTGAGACTGATCATACCGTTCTAGATGTTGAGTTATGATTATCTGGACTGCAGTACAGTAGTTTGAAAAAAAAATACCAGGAAATACGAACAAAAAACATGTTCTTTGAAGATTATTCATTCAAAATCTGAGTTACGTTTTTTTTCTCAACTCTATGCCACTCACGGTCTTTAATCTTTTTGGGACGATTATCTCACAGTGACTCTTCTATTGATTTGAAATTCATTGATATTCGAGAGCTTGCACTGTGAAGGCTGAATGTTTACTTCCTTTCTTGTCATTGTTCTTTGGCCACATAAAATTGCATTTTGAGTGTTTTCGGTTTTTTCAGGTGTTCATTCTGCTGAATGTTTACAAACTTCAGCCCCCAAAATTAGCTTGGTTGCATCCCACAGAATGTAGCATAAATTGAACCCCTGAAGCCAGTTTCACTTATTAAGGTGAAATGTGGTAGGCATATGAATCATGGATAGACCTCCAAAACCCTCCCCAAAAAACCTCAATAAGCCGCGCCTAAAAATGCACAGAAAATCTCCCATTTTTGTTTTGAAGTTATCATTTTATGATCAGTATGATTGATCATTGGAGGCCACTACAAATCAGAAAATTCCACAAATTGTCCAAGTATCTGTATCCTGGGAAAAAAATATGTATTTTGGGGGTCCCACACGCAGCCCAGACTAACTCAAGCCAATAGCGAAGCTTGGAAAGATTAAAAAAATAAATAAAAGTCCCTGACACAAGTTTTATCAGTCAAGGCAAAATTGTGGGAAATCGTGAAAAACGTGTGTGTGTGTGTGTGTGTGTGTGTGTGTGTGTGTGTGTGTGTGTGTGTGTGTGTGTGTGTGAGACACGCTCTGCCGTAGATACTTTTTGCCCACACCATTTAAAAAGGTCAGAAAATAAATATTCATTTTGAGATTGGACATGAAAAAGGAGGTGCCATTCATCCCTGCTCGCAGCTCTAGTTTTGTGTGCTTTTGGACCAAGGTCAAAGACATCTTTCAGTGATCGTCTGCCATTATCAACCACTATTATTTTGACTCCTCACTTTTAAATAGATATAATCATCCATCCATCCATCCATCCATTTTCTAATCCGCTTACCCTCACAAGGGTTGCGGGCATTCTGGAGCCTACCCCAGCTGTCTTCGGTAAGTAGGCGGGGTACACCCTGAACTGGTTATGAGCCAATTGCAGATTTTAAATAGACCTGAAATAAAAAGAAACCATACTTGGCCATGTGGTGTTTCACATGGCTGACTCTTGGGATCAATCCCCGGTCCTTGCGCTTCTCATAATTGCCTTGTGATTGACTGGTGACCAGTGTACCTTTCGGCTCTCGGTCCATCTCCAGTCCCTGCCGTGATTCTCTCCTGGCTAAGTGGTGTAGAAAATAGCTAGTACTCAGTGTTCCGATATAAACGTTGGTGTGGTCCCTACTCAGTCTTTGACAAAGAGCCTGACTTTGATTTGAGGACCCCCCCCAGTGAAACGAAGGCACATCTTTTTCTCTAGTGCAGAATGGGAATATATTAATCTGGCCCAGCTGGACACACTGAAATTAATGATCATTTACACTGACGACATAATCAGACTTCACGCCATCCTCCGATACGAAATTGCTTCTTTTGTTCCGCAAGATTGCCATGTTTTTCTTTTGCGTGCCTCTCTGTCATTGCCTCTACCCTCACTCGCCTCGACTGTTCCCCAGGTTGTTCTCTGTTATAGGTCATTAAATGTTTCCATGGAAACTGCCACTTTGGCAGAAATTGGCATGCTGTATAAAAGTGGCTCCGGCCATGTTGATGTCAAGAGACCTTGTTGCATTTGGTGTGAGATTGTCGCGTTTGGTGTGTCACGACGATTCTGTGTGGGACTTTGCTTCACTGCCGTGAGGTTTCGGGAGAGACACATGCGAGTGGTCAGCACTCCCCACCTCAAATCCCCACGTGAAGGAGCATGCACGGCCCGCTGAAAATGTCCCCTCTGTTGCTTATCTGCCAATTTTTGTTATTTTTGTTTTTAAAGCATAATGCTGTCATCTCTCAGAGCAATGACTCTGTTGGCAGGTGACATGTTTATTGTGTGTGCGTGTGCGTGTGCGTGTGAAGGAAGTGAGACAAGGCGTGTGTGTTTGTTTGTGCGTAGTGTGTGTGTGTGGCTGTGTGTGTGTGTGTGTGTGTGTGTGTGTGTGTGTGTGTGTGTGTGTGTGTGTGCACGCGCAAAAAAAAAACCTCAAACATTCGCTTTAAAATATTTGCCCATTTGCAATTATTTTTAGAGTGGTGGTGCATTCTACCCTCTGTTATTCACTGAAAACTCACCTATTTGCTTTTTTCAAGCTCAGGCCACAGCCATGTCTAAAATAAAAATATTGCTTGGGTGCCTCTAATGGCAACTTGTAACGATGTTGAAGTGAGGAGAGAAACTTCGTTCAGGCCTTGTCTCATGGGAAAAAAGTGTCTTAGCCCCGTCTTGTGGCATTTATAGGCAATTACAATTTTTTTGGGAATGGGTGTCAATTATTCGTGGATAATTTCTATTAGCAGTCTCATTTCTCCTCTCTACTTTGCGTGTATTTGAAAAAAGACATTTCTTTGCACTCATATTTAATGTTAAATATGACCTCATAATCTTTTGTTTTGGTGTGAGGATAAGAAAATAGAACTTTTTCCTCTCTCACTGATAGTGAGTTATCACCCTGCTGTAAGACAAAACAAGATGTCTGTGTTTGGGGTTTGCTAGTTGCATAAATCAGAAGATAACTGCCTGTCCATGTGTGTATATATATTTCCTCCCTCAGGGAGGAATAGTTTGACACTTCATAGCAGCATCAATTCTGGTTGGATTTAAACGCTCTCCTTGCACACAAGTTTTTATTGTCCTGTCTCCTGTCTACTTAGGGGTCTTTTTTTTTCCCCTTGACAGCATGATATAATCCTTCAATCCCCCATTTTTGTGTTGTTGAACACCACACCCCCTCCAGCACTATGGTCTTTTCTCATTGGCAAAATATTTGCGGCTTGAAGGACATAGCTCGGGTCAAAAGAGTCCAACAGTTATTCAATTTCTGCTTTTGTAACATATAATCGAGAACTATGCACCAATTGAGGGGGATCTTAAAATCTTTGAAGATAAACTGGCAACACTGACTGTACTTTTGTAAACTGACTTCAAAAATTGGCCGGTTGAACCAGAAAATAAACACACACAAAACGAATCCTTTGACGGTGGCTGAACCGCAGTCTCATGTATGACCTCATCCAAAATGACAGAAATCATCTTTAAGACTAAGTTTGAAAAAGAAAGCCAAAGAAAAAGCAAAAGCACGCAGTTAATCCTTTGCCACTCAGATCGCAGAGGCCACTTTTTTGAAACGGCATGGCAAAAAAAAAGACAAAGGAAAAAATCCATTCATATAAAATGAATCCTTTTGATGATCACTGGACTGAGCTCTCGTGAGGTACATTTTGCGTTGTTATCTCTGATAGCAGTGTCTTTTTAAAGAGGTATGCCCCAGAAAGACAAAGAAAAAGCAAAATGTAGAACTATCTTAGATGGTCGTTGAACTGAGGTCTCGTGAGATTATCGTATGATGTCGAGTAAGTAGGCTGATAGTGTCTTTTTGCCTTCGGGGGCTGTTTGTGTGTAATTAGGCTGTGCGCTTTGTGTAATGACCTAACACAGAGCTGCTCTCTATGAGGCTTAGCAGGCATGAGGAGAAACAAAAACCTACAGGGTCAGGATTTGTCATGCCCGAGAAGGGGCATCAGAGTCTCGAGTCCCAGTCCAACTGTGAGACACAAAACTATAGAGTTGGCAGAGCTTTGAAATGTAACAGCCTACGCCTTTAAATTGCCTCTGGATTCTTTACCGCTTTGCTCTATTTTGCCCGCGGTGAGCCTGAGATAAGAGGGCCTGGACAAAATGGCTGCCAGAGTGACAGTCACGCAGGTTAGATACAGACTCTCCAGACGGATATCTCCAAAAATATTTGAATCGTCTCTGTCAGATGAAAGTCCCATATCTCCATTTTATGATGATTTTGACTTTGAACACCACTACATTATAAGAGGTCACCTGCATATTAAACAGATGTAGCCAAAAAAAAAAGCAATGAAATCACGCTTTTTAACACCGTGAGTGTCGCCATTGACTGCCAGAACTGTCCTTCAAAACGCACACTTTTAGACCTCCTCCATTCACTTTGTATTGGAGACGACCAACAACACGTAAGCTGATCTCTTTACTTTTATAATGACCCGAATGTCTTCAACCTCGGATTCTTAACGTAATGTTTGCTTGCGGTGTGCGTCCATCCATTTTCTCAAGCGCCTGTCCTCATTAGGTTTGTGGGTGACCTGGTTCTTTTCCCAGCTGACTTTTGGCGAGAGAAAAGTACACCCTGGACTGGCCGCCTATTTTAAAGGTGGCCGTTTTAAAATGAGTTGCAAGTGATATATTTTGGTTTCAAACTAGGACTCCAGGTAACAATTATTTCAGTGATAGCTCAATCTGTCAATGAGTTTGTTGATTTAGTGATGAATCCAATTTTTGAATAGATTCCATTTCCATTTATTCAAAAAAACAGGACATTATTTCAAATTAACAGTGCAGAACAGACCCAAATATACTGTCAATGCATTAGGACTCAGTTAGTTACTGGCTTCGTCTGTACCACGTCAGAAAATGGGCAAAAATGTTGACCTTTGTTTTCCAAAGTACAGCCTCATATTTGCAAATGACTTATTTTGATTTAATATCAAGATAATAAACCTGTTCTCATGAGGTCGACAGAAATTTGAGAATAGGCTGAAATGCCCAGGATTTGGAAGATTTGAAATTAAACACGTTCTCTAAATTTCTCCAGGTACTCCACTTTCCTCCCAAATTCCAAAAACCAGCATCGTAGGTTGATTGAATGCTCTCAATTGTTCCCACAGTGTGACTGTGACCGTGAATGGTTGTTTGTCTGCGTGCCTAGCGATTGGCTGGCAACCAGTTCAAGGTGTACAGCCCAAAGACAGCTGGGATAGGCTCCAAAATGCCTGCGACCCTCGTGAGGGTAAGCAGGTCAGATAATGGATGATTGGAAGTTTTCTAAACAATTAATCCATCCATCCATTTTCTGATCCGCTTATCCTCACAAAGGTCGCGGGGTGTGCTGGAGCCTATCCCAGCTTTCTTCGGGCAGTAGGCGGGTGACACTCTAAACTGGTTGCCAGCTAATTACGGGGCACACAGAGACGAACAAACATTCGCGGTCACACTCACACGTAAGGACAATTTAGAGCACTCAATCAGCCTGCTATGCATGTTTTTGGAATGTGGGAGGAAACTGGAGTCCCCGGAGAAACACACCCAGGTATGTAGACAACATGCAAAAAAAAAAAAAAAGATACGGTACTTGCATATTTTCACTATTCTCATCAGGGCTTTGACCCTTCACTATACAGGCTTCTTTTCCGTGGGTGAATTGTTAATTCTAAATGAACAGAGACTAGGAGTGCGACACGGCAAGTTAGACTGATGGACAGGTGCCAGCCTGCCAGGCTTCATCAGTGGCATGGAAGTTGTGCGCAATTAGGAGAGGAGGAGACGCTATATCGAGACGACACCCTCAAGGCTCTGTCTCCACAGCAGGAGGACTTCCACAGAGCCCACTCAAAAGAACACACACACACACACACACACACACACACACACACACACACACACACACACAAAACCGTGCAAACACAGTGTCACGCATGTAGCAAAATATAATGTGCGCCGTTTCGCACGTTTGAAGTTCTTTAGTGTGTGGAAGCGTGAAATCCTGCGTACAAATTCCAGCACATCACTTGATTTATCCTTTTTCTTTACCTTTTAATGTTGCTACTTTGAGGGAGTACAATGGGAAGGCAGGAAATGATGGCCGTATATTTAATATTCCTCCGTGTGAGGTACTGGATGTCGAGGAAGTCAGAGAAATGGTGGCGAGAAGAATTATGGGGAGGGTTATTCTTTTGCCGTTGTTTTCGTGAGAAATCCTCGCAGACGGCGAAAAGCAATTCTCTACCATCAGCAAGTTAATAAAAAGCCTGCACTTTATCTCTGTCGAAAAGACAAATACCATGACGGAGGATGGAAGGGAGGAGAGGAGCACGGGGGAGGTTAGCCCACATTTCCTCTCCTCCTGCAAGTCATTTATGCTATGAATCGTTGTCTGATGGGGCCACAAGGTGCTGTTGAATCACTGGTGTGGACATGGCTATTTATATATTTATTTATTTATTTATTCATTTTATGGACAGGGAACACCCATTGATCACGAGTTGATGCATTCCACAACCAGATGCACTCGGTGGATAAAGAAACCATATTAACACATTGGTTTATCCCTCACTGTTGCTGGAAACACAATTAAAGTTATTAAAACTAAAAGTACAGTGTATGAAGACAGAAAGCATGAAATGCACAGAAAATGTACGTGTTTGATATTTGTCTTTAAGAGGAGAGGCCTGCTAGGATAGAGTGTGGAGTGACGAGTCTGAGCGTGAGTGTCTGGCCGTGCGCTGTGGTCGACAGCAGCTCCTGCGTTAGTGTGCACATTTTCTTGGTGTTCATTAAACGACTGTAAAAAGGCCTGGGTGAATGTGGCTCTCCTTTCCCACATGCAAGGGCATAATAGAAAGTACAGTCTGAGACATGATGAATTAATTCCACAACATTAGCCAATTTTTAATCAATGAATTCATTAATCAGGGTCTTTTTCAATACTTTCTCATGGTACCCAATTTGAGATTGACATGATGCCATCTTGTGTACAGACGCTGCTCTGTATCAATGTTAATTTCTGAATATGTGAACAGTAAATTTCCGAGACTACATTTTACTCTAAAAAGGCTATTTGGTCTCAGTCCAAACAGTGTAAAAATTACACTTGGAAGAGAGTGAAACATTCAGAATAATTTTTGTGGTCAATTTTTTTTGTTTTTGTTTTTTTTTTTTTTAGCAGGCACACTTTTATTTTTTTATTGACACTGTAAACATGAGTTAAAAATGAAATTACAGTCCCTCATGAACGCGAGTAATATTGCGTTTCTTGCTTGCATTACAATTGACCCTTTCATGCGCCAATAATGATAACCTGATCCTGATGACATGATAAACTGTCCACTGTAGTGACCTCTGTCCCTGAAAAGGTTAATGTGAATTCATGTGTTTCTTCACATGCGATACTATGTCACCTAAAGCCAGCTTTTTGGTGGAAAAGCAGTTGGGGGATTTTTTTTAAACCATTTTCACTCGGTTGTTGTCTGTACTGTAAGCCCAAATACAGTAGAGGGAAAAACTGTTATGTTAAGCCATGACAGAATGCCACATATATTTAGTGATAGTAATGTCTGGGATGGGGGTACAAAAGGTGAGTTGGGAGCCGCAGAGCCACTTATTGCTCAAAACCAAAAGCCTTCAATTATTCCATAATGACTCCGGCTCCTGGCAGCTGAACACACTTGTATGTCACCGAGATTAGGTAAGGTTTATTGGCTTTTTGGGGTTTGACCATTTGAGCGTGTGTCTTTGTTCCCACCTGTTTGGATCACCGGTTGACAATCCCTCTGATAATGTCGCCAACCCCACCCTCCCCCGTTCAATGTCACCCTCCTCTTATCTCAAACTGTCCAAATGGGGTGTATGTAAACATGATGGCCAGCCTTTGTTTCCTGTGACGTTTGCCTGGAAACAGCAAGCTAGCAGATAATACCCTGTGTTTCCCCCTTCGTCCGTATTACAATGCCTTCTTCTGCTCATTCTTCTTTATTTACATATATTGCGTGCATTTTTTTATATGATTTGTAGGACCCAAGCACCACCTTGGGTCCTTGGAATCAATTATTTGACTTTTTTAGGGTCCTAAACCTGCTTGGAAACACCCCAATATTTTACTGGTGTGTGTGTGTGTGTGTGTGTGTGTGTGTGTGTGTGTGTGTGTGTGTGTGTGTGTGTGTGTGTGTGTGTATCCGGGTGAAAACGATTGTGTTTACATGCAGTCAATATTCGGGTTAAGGTAAAAATTCCGTTTACATGCGTGAGCGGACAAAGTTAGATCGTATACAATATATGGTAATGAAGATCAGTTGGGATATCCTGGGAGGCATGTTTGTTGAATGGTTAGCACGTGGGCCTCACAGTCCAGAGGTGCAGGGTTCGATTCTGGCGCCGGCCTTCCTGTGTGGAGTTTGCATGTTCTCCCCGTGCCTGCGTGGGTTTTCTCCGGGTACTCTGGTTTACTCCCACATTCCAAAAACATGTATGGCAGGTTCATAGAACACTCTAAATTGCCCCAATGGTTGTTCGTCTATGTGTACCGTGCGATTGATCTGGCAACAAATTCAGGGTGTGCCCGGCCCACTGCCTAAAGATAGGCTTCAACACGCCTGCAACCCTCGTGAAGAAAAGCAGATTAGAAAATTGATGGATGGATGGATGTGATATCCTCATCTAAACTGTGACTTAAGTTAACAACATGATGCAAATAGATGTAATTTATGCTTCTTATTCTCTATGGTCAATAAAACGCATGATAGTCATGTCACTCACCACAGTCATGAAGCAATCAGTGTCTTCCTCGCTCCAACAGTGCACTATGGCTATTGCATTGGTGTCATCTTTGATTTTAAAGTTAGCCTTTGCATTGGTGGCATGATATGTTATGTGTGTGTGAGTGTGTTTGCAGCTTCCTTGATGTTTAAAGTGCTGAAGGAGTAATATGAGAAATGACCTGAAAATTAGCATATTTGGGTTTTTGCTCATGCTTACATAGCCTTTCAAAAGCCGAATCATGCCAATATTTGGGTTTTAAAAGGGTCATTGACTGCATGACTACATTCATAGACAGCTCTCTGGCTTTCGTGTCATTTACACTCAGACCTGACCAGTTTATTAGCTTTTGTAAATTCTTTTTTTTTTTACCTTTACATGTTAACACATTACAATTTAAAGCAAAGGTTCACACAGATTAATTCTGACCCCCACCATATACTGTAATAACATTATTCAAGGTCATTTGAGCAAATTTCTTATTTCAGCAGTGAGTATCCAACTGTTAGCCCTTCACTTTACTGTGTACCCTAGAATTAGCTCTCAGCTTTGCCCCATTAAGAAGCAGCCAGATATCCTTGACATTAGACAGTAGCTTTTTAGCCTATGCCATTTAGTTTGGGATGAGCATGGCGTCGAAGTATTTGCTATGTTAGAGGATGTGTGAGCGCCTGTTCATCTCTGCTTGCAGCTTCAATTTAGTCTTACTTTTCTCAAAACAAGATCAACATACTAAAAAAATAAACGGAATACAATTCCCTCACTCTCTTGGCACATTCTCACCTGTTAATCCCTACAAGACATTATAATTGCAAAGTAGAGTTACTTTAAGGTCAGACTGCGTTGCTGTGGCTTTCTGCAGCTTACATACTTGCATACATACGTGCATGTTGTCAAGCAGTATCGTGGATGTTATTTCAGAGTGTTTCATAATAATAACGCTGTGGGGAGAGACAGTCGACAAATGGTTAGCAAACAGTCAAAAGTTCCTGGGTTTGAATCTCAATTCAGGATATTCTCCTCATGTTTTCACGGGTTTTCTGTGGGTAATCTGACTCAGTCCCTCTTTCAAAAACATGTATCTCAGGTTAATTAAATGCTCAAAATTGGCCAGAGGTGTGAATGAATGAAGTGTGGATGGATGGATGTTGGCTTGTACAGTGTTGACAAGCAACCATTCACAGCCATCTTTTTGCTAGGTGGAACGCCCCCGTTGAGATTTGCATGTGGTAACGGTAAAGCTGGTAATGGTAATGCTCTGGTCTTGGTAAAGCTGTTCCTGGTGATGTGTTTGTCCTCCCGTGTCGAGGACGGAGGACTGCTTATCTCCTCGTGAAGTCAGCCACAATAGGGTCGCATCCGGCTGCTTGACAGAGACGGATACTGCATCATTAAGGAATATTAGTGGGTTCGGCTGAGCGGACCGGGCTTCTTCGGCCCCCGAGAGCGGCAGCAGCCCCGCCGCAGGAAGCTTGATAAGACACAACACACCAAAAGCTTCACGTAGTTGAATAAAAGCTGATGCCTGCAGTAGGCCAGACAAATTTAGCAGGGGAGCGGAGACATTGATGGCTAGAGTTGATGTCATGTTTTGGGGATGGGTTGTATGCCTTAATGAGACAGCAGAGGGAGAAAAACAGACTGATGATGGGTGTCAGTGGTGGGAAAACATCTACACAAGCTGTCAGGGAGGCTTAATTCTACAAGGAATGCAACTAGCATGTGGAGCTAACTAAAGCCGGCAGACGACAATGTGCGTGTGTTGCAATGTAATACTAATTAGCTATGACTATAATCTCACTCAATATTTCAGTCACTGTCACTGTTTTTTTTTTTTTTTATAAGGACTTGGGCTGCAGGCCTGAGCTGGAGCCTATCCCTGCTGATTTTAGATGAGAGAAGTAGAGTACATCCTGCAGGACTGTATAGGCACACAGTAACTTTCTCAACAGTTCAACTGGCAATATTTTAAGCGTTCACTATGACAACGTGACACAAATATACCAAAAAGGGGTGGTGTAAAGACGAGTAAGTTGGGCGTAAATCGGATTACAACAGTAATTAAAACAAATCTGTGGCTTTATCGCTTTTCCTGTTTCATGAGACCATCCTAAGCAAACATGCGGGCTGCACACGTTAAGCTCTGAACGTATCTGGCACTACATTAATAAATAAGTCGAATATACATAGATTAAAAAAATAAAAATAAAGCCTACCAATTGACTACAATGAAGTGCAGTTTTTTTTTTTTTCTTCAAGTTACAGCCTTTGTGATTTGAACATGACATTGTGCTACATTGCGACGTCGATTTGAATTCGGTCAGTCCGATGGTGTTTTGAGTACAAAGATGAACTTGCATGTGGAGGGTCATTATTTTTTTTGTCTTCCCATCTGTGTGTTTACAGTGCCACTCTTGAATTTTTGGCTTACTGGAACCTGTCATCATGGCTTAATGACGAGCTTGACAGAATGTGTGTGATGTGCGCAAGCTGTACCCCAGCACGTCAATGTGCGAGTTTCATTCACTCGCGTCCTCTGTGCCAACAAAAGCATATTGGTGGCAATTGGCAGTCGCCGGTGTCATATCCTGTAGAAAGTGTCAGCAGCAGAAGGTTTGACTGGCTGTCAGCGGCATTCTGCCGAGTCGCCTCTCGTCGTTCCCTCGGAGAATGACAGGCCGGCACTGAATGCTGCCCAGGCTTCTTAGCCTCAAGCCAACTGCATGACTGATTAGCACAAATAGACATTTTAATCCAAAAACAAATGAACTGGTTTACAATTTTTAATAGTCAACACAAGAACGGGTGCAATGTGAGCTGGGCAGCAGCCCTTGGCGGTCCGATCCTCGGCTAGAGAAGCTAGCTCTCGGTACGTGGAACGTCACCTCTCTTCCTGGGAACGAGCCCGAGCTGGTGTACGAAGCAGAGAAGTTCCGACTGGATATGTCGGACTTGCCTCCATACACAGCCTGGGCTCTGGTATCAGCTCTCTCTCTCGAGAGGCTGGACTCTCTTCCATTCTGGAGTTGCCTACGGCGAGAGGCGTAGAGCAGCTGTGGGCATACTCATTGCCCTCCGGCTCAGTGCCTGTACATTGGGGTTCACACCGGTGGACGAGAGGGTAGCCTCCCTCCGCCTTCGAGTGGGGGGACGGGTCCTGACAGCTCAGCGTGCCCACCCTTTTTGGAGTCCTTGGAGGGTGTGCTGGAGAGCGCTCCCCCTGGGGACTCCCTCGTTCTGTTGGGGGACTTCAATGCTCACGTGGGTAATGACAGTGAGACCTGGAAGGGCGTGATTGGGAGGAACGCCCCCCCGCCCCCGATCAGAACTTCAGCAGTGTTTTGTTATTGGGAGGAACGGCCCCCCCGATCAGAACTTCAGCAGTGTTTTGTTGAGTTGTGGCCATAAGGTGGTCAGTACCTGTCGTGGCGGCAACACCCGAACTCGCTGATGGACACCAGCAGGAAGGGATGCACTCGGCCTGTGGGACTCCAGAAGCAGCTGATGGGTATCGACAGGCTAAGCAGGGCTCTCCAACTCTCACTGGAGCGTTTTGCAGCTGAGTGTGAAGCGGTTGGGATGAAAATCAGCACCTCCAAATCTGAAACAATGGTCCTCAGTCGGAAAAGAGTGGTGTGCCCTCTCCGGGTCGGGGAGGAGATCTTGCCGCAAGTGGAGGAGTTTAAGTATCTTGGGATCTTGTACACGAGTGAGGGCAGGAGGGAGCAAGAGATCGACAGGCGGATCGGTGCAGCGTCTGCTGTGATGTGGACTTTGTATCGGTCTGTCGTGGTGAAGAAGGAGCTGAGCCAAAAGGCAAAGCTCTCTATTTACCGGTCGATCTACGTTCCAACTCTTACCTATGGACACGAGCTATGGGTCGTGACCGAAAGAACGAGATTCCGGATACAAGTGACCGAAATGAGTTTTCTCCGCAGGGTGTCCGGGCTCTCCCTTAGAGATAAGGTGAGAAGCTTGGCCATCCGGCAGGGGCTCAGAGTCGAGTTGCTTCTCCTCCATGTCGAGAGGAGCCAGATGAAGTGGCTCGGGCATCTGGTTTGGATGGCTCCTTGACGCCTCCCTGGTGAGGTGTTCCGGGCATGTCCCACCGGCAGGAGGCCCCAGGGACGACCCAGGACACGCTGGAGAGACTATGTCTCCCAGTTGGCCTGGGAACGCCTCGGGATCCCCCGGGAAGAGCTGGAAGAAGTGGCTGGGGAGAGGGAAGTCTGGGCACCCTGCTAAAGCGGTTGTCCCCGCGGCCCGGCAGTGGATAAGAGAGGGTTGCGAAAAGGTGACTGGCCACTGCTCTCAGAAGTCACAGTCCAGAGTGTGGAAGAAGCAAGTGCCCATAAAGACAGCGACAGCATGGATTTTTTTCACCAAGGGAGGCAGATAGCATGTTTTTGGAATGTGGGAGGAAACCAGAGTACCTGGAGAAAACCCATGCAGGCACGGGGGTGAACATGCAAACTCCACACACGGAGGCCGAAGTCTAAATCGAACCCGGTACCTATGCACTGTGAGCCCAACACGCAAACCAGTCAACCACCAGACAATAAAGGGATAGACAAATGTTTTTCTTTTTTTTAAATCAAATTAATCAATTAATTTAAAACAAATCCACAGACTGTAATCGATGATTTTAGAAAAAATGTTAGTTGTCATTCTAAAATTTTAAATTTTACTCTCAATCTGTCATGATTCAATCTCTGTTAGTTGCCAGCCGGTCTTTCCAGCTGCGCACCTGTTACCCATCATGATCAACGGACTATCAACAGACTTCCAACCGACTTTCAAATAATCCGCCTTGCTCAAGCCATTGTTCATGTGCAATTTTCTCGACACTCCAAATTTTGCTTCGTTCTTCGTTCCTCGTTTACCGCTCTCCGTTTTCTTGTAAGTAGTCATTTAATTTGGTATGTTATTCTGATTTGGTATTTGTCGTGATTTGATTCTGTTGTGCTTTTAAGATATTGGTATTTTCCTCGCCTTTTGCAAGCTCTTTTTCGTTCTCTAGTTTTATCCTCGTGTGTTGACCAGCATCATTATTTGTACTTTGTGAGTCTTGTGTTTGTTCATAAACCTTTTCCCTACCATAATCTTATCCTTGTCTACGTTTGTGGGATCCACCCCATCGGGATAATTCGATACCGGCCGTTCACACTCATGGATGATCGGTATCAGTATCGGCAGCTTTAAACCTTGAACACGGAACACCCTCAAGTGTTGAACTTCCTAATGCTAAGATAAGCTAATGTCCCAAGATTAGAAATACACAGTCTAATGCATGAACAAAGCCGATAAATAAATAATATTACAAACAAAGCCACACTCATGATTTATAAATAGAGTAGCCCTATATAAAGTCAACTTGCATTTGAATATGAATTATATATGGTGCATGCCGAGGCTATCTTTTGTCTGTATCGCCCTAAATGCTGTTGTCAGCCAGTGGCTGCCAATAACCATACAGTAGTGTTCTTACAGTTCTGCTTAAATGACTGTTGATTAGGATCAATAATGCAGGTTGTGACGCGTGCATTCAATTCAATCAAATGTAAACGGCAGCTATTAATGCCCCAATATGTACACATAATTATCCTATAAATCAATTACATTTACTGCTTAGGTGACTGGTGGGATTTTAGACATCGATTATGAAAAGACAATGAACAGACAATGAAAGTCTTTCCTTGGGCAATGTACAAAATGCCGGTGAAAGTGATTGCTTTTCCATTTATGTGGCACTGAATGATACAAAAATAAACATGGGCTACAGCACTTGTGGAAAAGTGTGCTGGCAGATCCATTTCGCTTGTGCCATGCTTGATCAAACAGAAGGAGCTCATCGAGAATACTGACCTCTCATCACTGATATTCATGAGAAATGTAACCAAGAATCCAATATATTGTATTTGCTGGTGTGTACATTTGAGCTAGACCATTATGGGGTAAAAAAAAAAAAAAAAAAAAGTCATAATCACAATTATTTTGATTGATATTAAAATGGCATTTTCATTAGTTTAACAAATGTGTTTGTAAGCGTTTGTGTGTGAATATTTTGTTTGAAGGAAGATCACATATCCCGGAATGATTGGTAATTATCCCGTTAATGGAATTTTAACATTGATTTTAGCATTAGCACTAGCCTTTTTTTTAAACAAAGCATGTCTTGTATTTAAATATAAAATGTATGTGATTCTTTCTGTTCTGTGTTTAGCATTACAGTAAATCCCAACTGGGATGTCATGAAACAGTTTAAAGCACACTCAGGGAGGGAATATTTGTCACATTATTGCTGCACAAGCAACGTGGTGGGTGCATTCAGTCTGCTTCCACAAAGTAGGAACTTGCAAACACGCTGCACACTAATCGTTTTTCTTCCAATCTTATTTTTTTGTAATTGGGAGAAGCCAAAATCAAAATCATGAAGTTATGTTTTGATTAAGTGCCCAGCCCTATTTTACACCTCTGGCATAAACAAAAAAAAAAAAAAATGTGGGCATATGTTTTAGCATTCCATGCTTGTTTGTCTAGTAAAAATCACATTTGCAAATCTCTCCAGCCCCTGCAACATGCACTTTATTTTTGTTTTGTTTTCGCCGAGACATTTGTCATTTGGCAAATTAAGGAGCCTATCCTTTCCGGAATGGTTTCATTTCATATGAAAACAAAATTTGATTTGAGACATTTGTTGGTCATCTCGAGTACACCACATGCTGCAAGACCAGTCAGCACACCCCGGACAACTTTTGTCCTTCTTGCATGAGGTGTCTCTCATTTTAAAAATGAATTACAGTAACATGTTACAAACCAGTATGGGTGTCCCTTTTTTTGGTTGCATTATAGCAGCGCTTACTCCAACTGATTATTTATTGCGAGGTTCAGAGTATTCAATGTCGAAAATTGCTTGTGACATTTAGTACGATGATAATAAAAGGAGACTCCTAATTTATAGCGACAAGTTTAATTCCGTCCCTCACCTGGGAACTTGCTGTTGTGAATCTTCCAAAGTGAGGCAGGGGGCACATTAACCGAATTAATATTGATTTGAAAACAAATTTGACACGGAGTAAGGCCTTTCATTTAATTCTTCACTGGGGCCGACCAAAGTTGGCTTTGTTGCATTTTTACTGATAGCTTGTTTCTCTTTGGGAAAAGAACTTCAGGTCAAGTCAACTTTATTGTCAAATATGCTCAATGTGCAACATACAGCACAGATTAAATTTCTTTCCTCCCAACCACAGTGCAACCACAGGAGAGAGAGGTTGATGGCAGCTGCGGGTATCCGTGTTGCCATCAATAGAACAGTTAACATAAGATGACAAAATAATACAACACAACACATAAGACACAGACAATCATGCAATCTTAACCACTTTTTCTGCATATACTATGTTTGAAATGATGTGTGTCACTTTAGATTGTATGTATTTCATGTTTATATCACTTTACTGAGGGAAAAAAAAAAAAAAAACTCTTTCCACCTATTGCGGGAAGGTAAACACAATCTGTCATCTGTCAGGGCCTGGCCAGAATAAGACCAATGCCAGGCAAATCTCTTCAGAGTGCTCGGCTGGCGCGGTCCAAACCTCTGGGACCAGATGTGTCAGCTCAGTGGGCCAATGGCCGCCTGCCCAGCATTCAGATTGATAGAGAGAGAGCCAGTGGATGTCTTTGTTTTTCCTCTTGCCGCACATCAGCACGTCACTTTGACGTATGGAATATTTGCAACTCCAGGAGAAACGTGACTGTGATAGTAGTGCCTAACTGTACAGGCCCATTTGGCACAGCCCATCTTTTTGGGCCTTCTGCTGAAAGAGGATGTTCTGCTGACTAGGGCTCTACAGCTCTAGAATTAATATTGATTTATTTATTTTTAGCTGTTTTTCTACTGATCATCCCATTGAGTAATCGGCTGGGCTGATTGTTGGCGCAGGTATTTGGCATTTTGACATGTATCGGCATTGGCCTTTTTGAGGAAAGATTAATTTAAAACAGATTTAGTTTGGCACTGACGCAGCGTCACTTCTCTGACTGTTGTGATCCCTCCGTCTCCAGCGTTGTCACACCCACAGCCCCATTTGATGGGTTACTCACGGAGACACGGTAAATGCCAATCGGCAGTCCATGTACGCCATGTCTTGGGGACCATCATTAGGGACAATGTGAAGCCCTTCACTTTTTATAAGAATTTCTACACAAAGTGGAGAGAAAAGAGAAAACCCAAAAAAAAAAAAAATTATACATTGCAAATCTGAAAAGATGTCAAATGTGCACTTTTCAGCTCTGTGTGTGTGTGTGTGTGTGTGTGTGTGTGTGTGTGTGTGTGTGTGTGTGTGTGTGTGTGTGTGTGTGTGTGTGTGTATATATATATATATATATATGTATATATCTGTGTGTCTGGGTGTCTGTGTTTTAAAGATGTTTTCATTTGGTCCGTCCATTAAGGCCCAACCTTTTTGGATTTTTTTTTTTTTTTTTTAGACCAATGTCGATTGTGATATTTAGCAGAATAAAATCCGCTTAATTAAACCGATTAATCAGCTGATTAATTAAAAAATATATTTAATGAATAAAATCACTTCTTTTTGGGTCCCTTAACGCTTTCAACAATAAAGATATGAATTATCGGCGGAAAATTTTCTGTTAACATGACTTCGGCCTTTCGTATTTGTTTAACTTTACAGCACTTTGTGGTGGGGGGTGCGGGGGTGATGAACGTCATTATGTCTGTCTTACATTGTACTAATGTGTTCAAAGCAATAATAAAACAATCAGGAGAAAAATCATCTGATTTTCGCCGATTTTAAGATGACTAATCTCATCCGGTTAATCGATGGGGCCCTACTTTCTGTCTTGTGGATTTTCATATATTAGTGATGCGTATGAACCCTATCCCTCACAAAAAAAAAAGGGGGGGGGGTTTCACTGTAATATCAAGATTGTTGTACAGCCACCATCACATGATTTTGGACGGTGAGCAAGGTAAAGAAGTTAATGTTTATTTAATTTGTTCCATACCGCAGCTGGCCCTGCTAAGTGCTGTGCCATTAAGGACCTCGTTCTGTGTTTGCGTATGGGAGCGATAGCAGACTGCTTGCCTGCTCAGCGGATCATGTTTACCATCGTGTGTGTGCTCACTCCAGAGCAAGCACGCTGCTCCCCCGCGATTAAATTATTTATCCCCTTAAAACAAACGAAGGTGCGCTGTGTAATCTGAGTTGTGCTTCTCCCTTTGTGTGTGTGCGCAGATTTACAATGAGAAAAGGAGCCAGTTTGAAATCAAGAGGAACAACCCCAAGGACCTCGTGGAGAGAGTGGCGCGAGACATTGCCAGGCTGCTCAACAGTAAGAGGAAAGCCCTGGAGGTACGCGACGAAATGCTTGAAACATACATGCAGACATGTAAACACAAGGACGTTAAAATCACTCGCAACACAAATCTGTGATGCTGATTTCATTAACTTTTCGCCTGAGAAAAGCCTCCGCACAACATCCATGCCAGGTTAATTTAAGAGACTAAATTGCCCAGTGGTGAGCATGTAGATGGGTGTTTGTTCCTAATGGAGGTATAAAAAAATGTTTGTGAACCCCCCACCCACTTTTTTAAAGTTATTAGAATAATTAAAAATGCGCCGAAATAAACTCATGCAAGAAGTTCACTTCGGCTGCCAATAAGCGAATGTAACCGGGGTGTTAGCGAAAGAGGACTTTTGAGCAACTATTCATTTTGACCCTGATACGGTCACTTGAGAGTGAAGAGCGCTGACATTTCTGAGTTCGGTCTTCAAAAAAAGGAAAAAAAAAAAAGGATGGAAGTGTGTATCTTTCAAAAGCATGTGGTGTTTGGGGGGATGAAGCACATTCATCCAGAGGCGCAGAGGTCTCTCAGGGGCGTGATTAATTCCACAGTTGGAATCTTTAAAGGGAACAAGGCGTCGCAGTACATCTCCAATGGCCATGATTGGATTTGGAATGACATTGGTTTTGGCACTTTTCCCCACCTGACACACACACACACACACACACACACCATACCACAACAAAACCCATCACTTCCCCACCAACTTCAACATGTCCGCCAGACTCACCGAGGATGGAGAGAGGGAGGAAAATGAGGTGACGAGTGGTAAAGGGAGAAAAAAAAATAGGCGGTGTGGAATGAGAATGTCTCCCTGCGGCGTGGAAGAATCAAGAAATGATGTTCAGAAATTCATAGATTTAAAAATGAGCAGGGAAGGGAAGGTAAAGGAGGGTGCTGAGGCAAAAGTGAAGCGGTAAAAAGTTTTGGGTAAAAAGCAAAGCGGACAGGAAACGAGATTGCAAAAAGCCAACGGAGGCAAAGAAAATGAGGTGGTAATGGTTTTATAGAGTATAAATGTAAAATCCTAAGTTTACATGCTTACTTTTGACACTTCGGATAGTTACGACTATATATATATATATATATATATATATCCTACTTATATGGATATTTACAGGATCTAACCATGAGTGGGAAAAAAACCCCAACAAATTTTCACCACTGTGTGGATCATTCGTCTTAAAATTTCTTTTCGGCGCCAAATTCTGATTCAATGCATATACAGTACCGTACCTGATTCAAAATCCTTCCCCCCCAAAAAAACAAACACATTCTATTTCCGTTTACATTTCAGTTGTCGCATTTGATATGGGTGAGCACAAGAAGGTGTATCGATGGATGTGTTCGGACAGTCACTCTGACATTGTAACCACTCTGAGAGTGTGTATCTCCAGAGAGACAGAGTTTGCCCCCCCCCCCCACACACACATTAATTTCCAAAGGCGCCCTATGTTATAAACCAATGAGCAGCTCACGTTTGAACTGTTGTCATCTGTACTGCCTGACACACTGGGCACTCTGGTCCCCAGTGGGAGTGGCCAGATCATGCTCCAACATAATTTTCTGGTGCGCTGAAATACCTTGCCAGAAGTCCACTGGCATGGGCTTCACCTCACCCTTGACACAAATACACTCAGACAACCGCTGGGTCAAGAGTAACCCAAGTTGGGTGAAATAGCTAACAGCACTGGGTCCAAAAGGGGCCGAGCCAAGAAATGGTTCAATTAGTGTACAGTGGCTGTGATTTTCAACTCTTCAGCCCACCAAACTCCAATCTTCAACCCAATATCCATATTTGTATTTATATTGCACTTAATTGAACTGTGTTTTCTTTTCTCTTCTTTCTACCCACAATCTTGCTGCTGAAGGCTGTAAATTTCCCCAGTGTGGGACAAATAAAGGATATCTTATCTTATCTTATCTTAATATGCTTGGTCAAATCAAGAAGCCCAACTTGCTCAAAATCCACAGCTACCCAATGAGTGAGTTAGGAAAACAACCCAAGTCAATTAATTATTTAATCACAAGTGAGTATCAAAAGGGTGTCACATGCCCACGGTTGACAAATATTCATGGCATCCCCTGCTCTAAACCCTCCAGGAGGGCTCGTAAAAACCTGAAAAAAAAACTAGGGAAAAATAGGAAACCTTGAGATGTGTCTGCACCTGTGGGGAATACCTTTCAAGGATGCCCAGGCTGACCAAGCATTTTTTAATGTGGTATGACAAGGTTGCTTGTCTATAGGTACCCTATGAATGACGGACATTCAGTCCAAGGTGTGCCCCACTTGTCTCACCAGAAAACAGCTAGGTTAGTCTTCAGCTCCCCGTGAACCCTTGTGAGGATAAAGCGGATTGGAAAATGGATGGATGGATGGATCGTCTTCAGCTCATCCATGACCTGAACAAGCACCAGCACTACAGAAAGTTGATGCATGAATAGTTTTGTACAATGACATCACTGCCCTCAGTCTGAAGGCCTGGAAAGGCTTGAAACTGATCCTAAAAGCCCTTGAATTTGAACATCGCATTGGCGTGTGAATACTACGTAGTGTCAGCAGAAGGTAGGTGCAGAGTTTTGCTTGTGTTTGATGCGCTGAGGTGTGAGATCAGAGCAAAAGGCTCCCACCTGAGAGTGAGACCAGAGTATTTCTCTGACGGCTCTTTTAAGCCAGAGAAGGCCGCCCAGGCCGCCCCTGTAGCCTGTCATGTTTGCACATGACGCCACGTGACTTACGATGACTGATCCGGGGGGAGTCGGAAGGGGGTTGGGGGGGCTCACCTTGTCCTGTAATGCTTCGCATTAGATCAGGCCCCGAGTTCAACCGGGTTGCCCAGAAACAGAATCTCGTCCAGTGTCACTCACAGCCCATAATGAATCGGAGTTGTCAGTCAGGGGGCCCCTGCTAGGATTTTTCTGCTCTGAGCAAACATACTCGAGAGTTGTAATGTTCCCGTCGGCTTTTGCAAAGAAAAAAAAATAAAACTGCCGTTGTCAAATCTCTTCACTTGAGATTTCACAGAGGAGCCTGGTGGAATAGAGAGGGAGGAATAAGGTTGCCATAATCCAATTACACACATTTCAATACTATCCCAATAGCTCTCAGAATCTGAAGGATGGCAGCCTGCGGGTTGTTCGTTGCGTGATGAATACGCGGCCGGCGCTCGACGCTGGCAGGGTCGCACAATGGAGGTGAGGTAAGATGAACGGTCTTGGTGCTCCGTATATTTTGTTCGAGGACATTTACAAGAGTTTTCGTAGGTGACTGCCGGCAGGAAAACAGATTTGAAAAGAGCGGTAAAGGCTATAGTCATTGAGGTCTTGTTAGCACGGGTTGATGGAAGCATTCCGAGGAAAAACTAAATTGACCCACATAAATAGATATCAGCGCTTCACACAGAATCCGTGTTTGGAGAAGGAGCGTGTCCTTTTGGACTCGGGATGAAACTCAATGCTTGATTCACATGCGGTTTACGTCTCCCCAGTGCAGAATGGTTCCTACTATCTGAACCGCTTGACATGGATAGAATGAGTGGCTTTATTTTTGCTCTGCGATCCTCTCTCTGAGATACAAAATGTTGCTAATATCTTGCAAGTGACGACTGTCTTTTAACCTGCTCTAGTTTTCATGGACCTAGAGAGTATATCTGCAGTCCAGTGGTTCCCCCGGTGTCATGCGAGAGTCACAACCCAACAGCGGGCACTTAAAACTTGTCCTCATAATTTACATCACGGATCACAGAAAAAAAATGTGCAGTTTCCAGGCAGGAAGTGCTGAGTGAACACTGTCACCGTATCAAAATGTAGACGAAACAAGTCAGTTACCAGAATGTTTCATAATGCATCACAGCATTTCATTGCAATGCACCCAAAAATGCTTTGTAGTGACAGCACCAAAGCAATGTGATTGGACACTCAAAAGGGACCGATGGAAAATTGATTATTTAGTTCAGGGGTGTCAAAGTCAAATGGACGGAGGGCCAGATAAAAAATTTTGCTGCAAGCCGAGGGCCGGACTGATCGAATGTTCATTGAAAATTTTAAAAATGACCACATATTGTTTATTGGACCAAATTTAATTGACTGAAAACCTAACAAATACATTCCAATATGGTCAGATAAATAAAGCAACATTTTTTATGGCTATGTCAGTAAACTTTAATTTTCAACAGGCACAAAAAAATTTCCTTTGTATAAAAATACCCATAACATGAATGAAAGAAGCCGATATTATTCAAGGCACTATCACTAGTCCATATTTTCTCTTTTAGCAAAAGTAGGCTAAATTTATTTAACAAATAATAGTACAGTAATTTTCGATCATTTACTCGAATAAAATA